TTAAGTTATAGAGTGTTTCCAACAACCGATTACACATAGGTACCTAAAAATTAATAATATATTTTTATACCTAACACCTATAAATTTTATCATCAAGGATTTATCATTGATCGATTATTCTAGTTTATGGTGTTTAACGTTTGTAATATTCAGAATTAAATGGAAAATTATAAAATATAATAATTATTGTAAAAGTATTTCAATTCACTTAACAAATAAACAGTTTTATAAGATCCTATAACTACGGATATAGGTAGTTTTTCGACAACTAAGTTAAATTAAATTGTACAACTATTTCCCTACTATGAAAGCAATAATACCTACATATTGATACCTAATATTTTGTTTGATTGGCTATTTATTATTATACATAATACTAATTAGTATTTTTATACATTTTAATATTGTTGAAATGTATTTAATAAAATGTTATGATAACGACGATAACGTTACCTATATTAAAAAATAAATATTATTATTTTCAATATTAACTACGCCGCAGGCAAAATACATTTTCATCGTGTTATAACCATAGATATATCATATATAATATATTATATTAATTATTAATAATACATAATAATATGTTAATCATTGTTCCAATGTTAAGTACCTATAGCACATAAATGTATATACAACTAAATATCGTATTCACAATCAGACATAATCTTACAATAGGTACTGTATAATTAGATAGGTATTTAATGGGTAACTAATATTTAAATAGGTAGCAATAACAGAATACATTTAATATTTATATATTATATATACTTTATGAAGTGGTAACTGGTATTAGCAAAGTAATTATATTTACTACAAGCTAATTCAGAGTTTGGAATAGGTAGAGGGGATTTTTCTTGATAAACCAGAATATTTTAATATTATTATGCATATCCGAGGTAAACATTTAAACTACGTCAAGATATAAACATTCATTACGAACACGATTTTTGTGGTTAACAATAAAATATTCTTATATATCACCTTGTATTTTAAATTAGATAGGTATTATGACATTCTATTTTTTCTCGTTAATGCTATTAAGTTTCAGTTTATGTGTGACGGCAGGTAAATAAAGTGTTCGATACAATTTATTATAGATTATATAAACTCAAACRAAAAATCTGTTGTGTAAAACAGTTATTTTTTATCGGTTTTAGCTTCACAAAGGACAAATTATAAATTCTTAGGATGTTTTTTGGAAGAAAATCTTTTAACTCTTGGAGAAGAGAGCCGTGTCTTAACACCAATATCGCCTCAATCTTGTTCAGAGTTCTGCTCCGGGAAAAAATATTTATTTTTTATTCTTAAAAATGAGTAGGATTTTGTATTATTATAAATAGTATAGGCTTTTTAAAAAAAGAGTTATGCGAATACGTTGTTAATAAATTYCTTAAAAAGCTACTGATAATGTTATTTTTTCAGTAACTGTTACTGTAGCAAAAATTATATATCAAGATTAATGAAACAATTTGATAATGCATGTACGATTAAATGCTCAGGAGATGATTCAGCTTCGTGTGGTGGAAAACCAAATCTAGTGTCTTCATATACAACAGATAGTTCAAGTAAGTAAAAATTATTTATTTCATGCGTTTAAATATTATATTTAGTTTTTTAAAAATGTAATATGTATATATCACCAAATATATTATTCTTAA